ATGTGCTTCACTAGCAATTTCTTTTCCTTTCTCAGAATTTCCAGGCCTACATTCTGCTTTGAGTTCCTCTATTGTTTCCTTCAAGTCTATAATCACAATTAAGAGGTCATCTCTTTCTTGCTCTAAGGCATCAAATTTCTCCGCTAAGTCATTCTTTTCTTTACTGAATTTTCGATGGTTTCTTTTAAGTCAACAACTACTACCATCAAATCGTCTCTTTTATGTTCTACACTAGCAATTTTCTCAGTTAGAACCTCCTTTTCATTTTCCAGATTACCTATGGTTTCCATCAAATCAACCACACAAACTACCAATTCATCTCTAGTTTGTTCGGCATCTCCTAACTATATGGTTAAGGCATCCTTATCATTTACAAGACTATGATAGGCATCAATTAACACATTTGCTAATGACATGAGTTTTTTTAGGAGAGTAGGATTTCAAATTTTCTCTGAACATCCCTAAAATTTACCTCATCATTGTCATCATCTTCATCATTGTCTGACTGAGCCATCAAAGCAAATATTGAATCATATTCATTGGCTTCACTTTCAACTGCCATCATAGAACTATCACCTGCATCATTTTCTTCTTCAGACTCACTGGTGGAGTCTCCCCATGCTGCAAGATCTTGCTTCACAACATTGTCAGCGGCGTTCTTTCTTTTGAAGCGTTTTTAGGAACCGGGTTCCTCTTGGCTACTCTATCAGATTTGTGCTTGAAATGTTTTTGCTTCAGGAGAGGGCAATCCTTGATGAAATGTCCTAGCTTTCCGCATTTATGACAGAGGTCATAATTCTTTGATTTGCTAGAACTACCTCTCTTTGGTATGCCTCCATTTCTTCGAACCATTTTCTGAAACCTTCTGGTTAAGTAAGCCATGTCACCGTCCCGTTCACTTGAGTCATTGCTTTCAGCCTTGAGTACCAGGTTCTTTTCCTTCTTTGGTTCTCTTCTTTCACTGTCCTTCTTCTTTTTCTTCTTTATTTCGTAGGGTTTCAGATTTCCAACTAGCTCATATATGGTCAGCGCCTGCAAATCCTTTGCTTCAGTAATGGCGTGCACTTTACTCTCCCAGGAGCTGGGCAGAACACTAAGAATCTTCCTCACTAGCTTGTTCCTTGGAATGATTTCACCAAGCGAGTGTAACTTATTTACGATGGAAGTGAATCGAGTGTGCATATCTTGAATGGATTCATCATCCTTCATTCTAAAGAGTTCATACTTAGTGGTGAGCATATCAATCTTAGACTGCTTTACTTGAGTGGTTCTTTCGTGTGTCGTTTGTAAAGCTTCATATATCTCCTTGGCGGATTGACAGGCTGAGATCCTGTTGTATTCATCAGGTCCTATGCCACACACCAAAATTTTCTTGGCACAAAAGTTTTTCTCTACAGCTTTCCTATATGCATCGTTGTATTCTTTCCTGGTCTTTGGCATCGTCACAGGAGGATATCCGACCTTCTTTGCTGGGACATAAGGCCATCACAAATAATATCCCACAACTCGGAATCTTCTGTCATGATAAAGTCATGCATTCTTTTCTTCCACCACCCATAGTATTGGCCATTGAACCTGGGTGGTCTGTAGGTAGACTGACCCTCTTCGAAGTTTGGTGGAGCAGCCATGAGGATCCTTTCTAGGTGTTAACCTGATAGAACTCGCTCTGATATCAATTGATAGAATATATTAGTCCACCAAACTATATAGAGACCAGGTCCTATATAGGTTTCCACAGATAACACTAATGCAACAGTAAGTAAATGGAACATGGAACTTTTACGTGGAAAAATCCCTGCTCAAGGGGATAAAAAACCACGACTTACGCTGGTAGGATTTCAACTTCACTATGAGCAATCTTTAGATTACAACCTATGCAATCTAGGAATTAAACTCTTAATCCCTCACTAACTTGTAATACACCTAATACAAGCCACATTGCAATACACCTATTACAAAGACTTTAACTCATGACTAACTCTAGTCACGACACAAACACTGAAGGTTTATGGTTTACAAGGGGTTCCTAATTAAGTCTTCTAGATAAGCAAAGTAGGAATTACAAAGAAGAACAATTACAAAGTTACAACTCAACTAAGGACATACAAGAGACTTACTGTAGGAACTGGTAGTAGTATTGTACTTTGTTCTTGATGCACTTGAGAATTGAATGCTTGATTGTCAGACGCTTGGAGTGCTTGAATGAATTATCAAGTGTTCAAGTGATGTTTTGTTGTAATGTTCTTTGTTAATACAACTTAGATGACTTCACTTGAATGATATAATCACTTGGTTGGTCAATAAGGAGTGACTGTTGTATTGTGCTGCACTATTTGCGTGTACAGTGCAGGCAGTCACTTTCCAGCTGTAGACAGTTGACTTCGTACTGCTGTCAGGGGAACCCAAGGGGATCAGGTCCCTATGTTGATTCTTTATCTTCTGAAGTCATAGCAACTCACATTAGCTTGAGTCCGTTGATTGAGTTGTGTACCAAGGGTGTCAGGTCCTTTATCTGGTTCTTTGACAGTAAGTTTGTTAGATCATCAAAACACAAAGTTAAGGTACTGTAAACCCATCACCAAGGCCCAAAGCTAATGTCTTCATTCAAGCCAAATGCAAACTAAACCCATATGAAACCGTGTTACCCATCTCTTATACAAATATAACATGTCTTGAACCATTCAGACATAACATAAACTCAACCTAACCATCTCCTCTTTCATCGTACTTATCACCACTGGAATATTCTAGAGATCGATGGCACAAAGCTTGATCAACACCATTTCCAACATACGGCTACGTACAATAGACCCTTATAGTTCGGCCCTTCTCCGGACTCGGCTAGTACCGGGCTGCCCCTTTGAATTTAAATGAAGGAAAAAATATAGTCTTATTTTTGAGTTTATATTTGTAATAATAATTTTAAAAAATAATAATTTAATCTTATTTCCAAGTAATTATCTCTACCTTTTATTGTCATATTAGGAATATTCTAAATACCATTTAACAAGTATTTTTAAAGTCTTTTTAGTTCGTATGAAATTCCACTATTTTCTAGAACTAGAAATGCATTAAATCTTATTTCCAATATTTTTTTAAAAATCAATTTTTCAAATTATCCTTTGGTTCTTTAAAACTTCCAGCTCTGTCAAAAAATTACAATCAATATCTAAATTTTTTTTATTATTTTCTTGTATGGTCACATTAAGAATAATAGGTCTCATTTTCAAATTTGGTAATTTATTTTAATATAAATATTTTAGAACTTTGAACTAAACTACTCAATTCTTCATATTAGTAAATAATGTTTTTTACAATAAGATCCCAAATAATATATTATTAATACGTGGGTATATCTTATTGACTTAAATTAACTCTTATCGATATAGATAAACATTAGTAACCGTTCATGTGAAGTTAAAGACATGTCTGATAAGAATACAATATTATTAACAACAAGTAGGAAAAAAGCGAAAAGTGATAACGTTTTGCTTACGTGTTATACATATATAATATAAGTATTTATCTAAAAAAAGTTCAAGGTCTCTTATTAAAATTTGACTTTGATAACCACTAACTGTATTTCTCTTCGTGTGGGAGGCTCTATATCTCCCCTCTTTTCGACGGCTCTATGTCTCCCCTCTTTTCGACTTTCTTATAGTGATTTTGATAGGGAAAGTTATTATTTTCCATACTTGCATGGCTCATCTATGCCTACTATGCGTATTCTACGTATGAGACGTTGTCAGCATTGCCTAAAATACAGGATACACTAGTTGTCGTTGCAGCATAGCTCAAATATATATATGACAATCTTGGTTCTGCATTACGAAACACACCTCCATCAGGGGGTGCTTACTTTCGATATGACATTTTTCATACTTTTGGGTGGGGATTTTGTCAGTGGGGATGGAGAGACTTTCGGTTAGGACTGAGTTGCCGACACACTCATTAGCAGAGATGAAGCTTACTGTTACTATCACCCACTGCCAAGGGAGGGCATTCAGATTAATAACACAAAAAAACGACCTACCTATTATATCTTCATAAATTAGAGTTGTTATGCATCATGTTTTAATTCTCTTTGCTAGAATCCCATCACCATGCAATTCATATCATTATATATCCTAGTCAAGGAAGGTTGTTGCCACCACTACAATGGATACTTTGTTGTCAATCTTACATATGATTTCTCACTATAATAATAGTAGTATATTGGGATGTATAAGTCATAGTGTAGTTTGTAAGTAGCATAGATAATTAATGTTTCAACCTTTCCACGTTGAATTAATATTTTACAAATGGTTTATTATAATAGTTGAAGTGCAAGTACTCTTCCTAATAACTTCAGTTTGTAGTTTGCATAGTACGTATAGGCCATCAGCTTACTGATATGGTTTTGAACTAAAAAAATGAGATTTAACTAAGGGAACATTGAAGTTAAATACTCTCAAGTACAAAACCAAATTTTGGGTTTTAGTATAACCTTTTGTGTTAATCGTTGAGCAGCCTTCAGCTTGCCAATGCAGGCATCTCGTCTCAAAGTTGAACAAGTTGGTCCAAGGGAAATCATGAGACATGAAGAGAAGCTAGCTTTTTAGATTAATCTCTACTATACACTGGTGATGCTTGTTAGATTTTTCTAGCTGAGAGAGGTGTCCAAATTTCGCTTAGTTTGTGTACAAACTTGTTAGTACTTGTTTTCAGATTGTACATTTCTTAGTCTTGTAACTGCATACCATTCAACTACTTAAAGTGACTTGTGGGGTTGTGGTTTCCACATCTTCTGTTCACTGCTTGGGCCTCATTCATGTAATTCCGAAATAAAGCTTACATCTCTAGTCCAAACAAGCAAAAAAAAGTAATCAGAAATGGTCTTCACAATTTATAATACCACTTGCTTTATACCTTTTGGCTTTTTGCATACCATTGATCTATTTAGAGCTACTATAACCAAAGAAACTCTAACAAAAAGGGGAAGAAAAAGAAGAGAATAGATGAAGTTTAGACCATCCAAATTATTACAAACTCACTTGGGAAAATGAGGATACAATCATTAGGAATGACAGTTGAATCACAATTATGGCACTTCACTAGACAACCAGCTCAAGAAAGTTCATTAAATTGAAAGTCTTGTCAATCTGAAAAACCCCTTTTTATTGTGATTCATCTGACATTCAAAATCATTGATAGTGAAGAGCCTGAAGACAATCAGAGAGGAATAAGACCGTGAGACTCACTCAACCAATTCACTTGAAATGAGGTAGCGGAAAGTGTAGTTGTGAGGAATCCAATCAATTTTCTTCCACAACTTGCGTTGCTCGGGCTGCTGAATTTTTTTCCTCAAATAAGAAGGTAATGCTTGCTCCATCATTTCGAAAAAACCAGACGGGCCCAAATTTATCTCTTTAATATAAGATTCCACATTCTTTGGAAGGACTAGTTTTTGTTCTTTGTGCACCCTTATGTTTGCCTGAATGTACTCGTCTTTAGCCACTTCTAGTTCATCGAACACTCTCTTCGATGTGTACAGACGAAGCTACACACATATAATGGAATAACAAGTCAAAATATATAGGTATAAAATCAAGAAAACAGTTATTCTTATCGATCAAGATACCATTAGTTTTAGGCAGAAAAGGAAAAAGACAGTTTGGCTGAACGAAAAGGTAATAAGACACTAAGTAATGTTTTTGTCAGTGTATACCACAGGATCAGAATGGTTTCCTGAGCAGAGAGCAAAGCGTAGGCGAGGATCTGGATGCTCTATTGCATATCCCTTTCGTGCATCTCCAGCTTTAAATCTTTGTTTAGTAAAGAACAATGATTGAAGCCACTACAGGCAAAATTAACTTCAATAAGCCCCATTGAAACCAGACACAAGTCCAACAGTTAATCATTTAAATGAATGAAACCAAAGAGGGAATACAGGCGACTTTACTGTCACATAGAAACAGGAAGTGGATTAACCTGACCAGGACGAGGCAACTGGCACCGTAGTATAGAATTCTGAATCCTGTCTACACTTACTGTATTCCCTCCAATGTTGTAAGCTGCCTGAAACATGAAAAGTTTATTCGCAATAGCAATTACAGTGCAACTATTTTCAAGGTAAATCAGACGAAATTTTCTTACCTTAAGAAGTAGAGATGCTCTCTTGAGATTACTTCTTGGAATCCCATGAACCAGAAATGCCTGCAACATATATAATGCTGGTTCATGATTTTTCACATTTTAATATAAAGCAGGAATACAGAATAAAAAATTCTAACTCCTAGCTACAGAAATCTTACATGCATCACTAGTGCATTGTGGACATTAATCCAAAAGGCTAGTTTATCTCCATGTTTCATTTTCCTAGGGTCAACTTTTTCCAACTTTGAGACCAGATACCTGCATTGGGAATTGCAAAGTCAATGCTCGACTTATGAAAACTTACAAGCAAACACAAATTTGAGGTATTTCCAAACCAATGTAAAATGTGTTTGTTTGGTGCACTTTGGGCCTACTACAGGTGTTCAATCGGAACAAAGTCTAGTTAAAGTGTCTAAATGAAAAATCGTAGCAACTTTAGGTATCTTCGTATATTAACAGCCTTTAAATTTGATGGCTTATATGTGAGAGGTATTATACAAACTACAAGTTGAGTTATTAGGCTTACCTAAATTGCTTTAGCATGTGCTCTACACCATTTAAGCTCTGGCTATCTCGACGCAGCCCTTGCACCTCAACCATTCTGACAAAACATCTGCTAAATCCCTTTGAATCTTCGATGTGGAACAGATTGTTCAACGACGAACCAGAAAATGAATTTTCTCTGAATTGCTGTCCCTGCATATCACCTTGAGTTCGAGGGAAAGATTCCAGTGTTGATGATGAGACCGAGACGGGAGAAAAACTTAAGTCATCGCCAAAGAAAGGCGGATCAGCAAGCTGACAATATATGGCTGAAATGCACTTGATCATTTCTTCAGATAACCGGCTTGGCGAGTCATGATAATTATTAAAACAACTGGTAACAAAATGCTCCGCGAGACTCCTATTTGAAGTTGACAGCTCATGAGCATGCTGGTTGCAACATGATAAAATTTCCATTATTAATTACTCTACAATGCATATTAACAAAACTTAGTTCATGTATTCTGCGCCGTAGCTACGAGATCTTGTTGCAAGAATGTATAACATGGTTGTTTTATAATATCACTACTTACCTCGAGCATTGATAAAGGCAAAGAATGGTATGAGTCTACAGCCTCAGCAAGAGCTGCAACTGAAGGTGAAGCTCTGAAGGAAAAAGCAGCATGTGATAGGGAAGAATGGCATCTCAAAATGGTGGAATCAACTAGTTTTTGTGTGTCATCACATTCTTTGATTGGATTACTGAATTTTGGCAAAATAGGACTAGTATTAGTCACTAGATTTTCTTTTGGCTTGACATTTTGCTCCTTGAGTTCTGAAAGTCTCCTTTCATTGGGAGTTGAATTAGTTTTCGACAGTGATTCTAAGCATTTAGCAAATGTGTTTCGATACATTGAAAGAAGATGCTTCTCCAAACACATAATATCCATCTCCAGAAGTGCAATTTCTCTAATCAGATCTTCATGAGTAGGCTGAAAATAGGAAGAAGCAAGAAAAGTTACTAAAACAACAACAACGGCTGTAAAATCCCACAAGTGGGGGTGGTAGTGTGTACGCAGACCTTACCTCTACCCGATGGGATAGAGAGGCTGTTTCCGATAGACCCTCTGCTCAAAAGGTGGATTAATAATTAAAGACAGAACAATTCAGATAGCATTCCAAAGTTCAGTTCTCAGGCTTGCAAATATTTTCTTTTCCTTAAACAAGAAAGCCATTAATCAAGTATATGTTTGGTACGACCAAGAATTATTTTGAAAAGAAGGTTATCCAGAAAGTCATTTGTCGAAAATATTTTCACCAAAAGAGGGAAAATAACTTCCTTCACTTTTGGGCGGAAGTCGTTTTACTGCATAACTAATATTTAGACATTATTATTAATCTTTAACACTCGAAATTTTCATCAAAAAACTCTCCGGTTTTGCTAATATCATTATAAATCTCTAAGGAGTAACTGCTTTTTTCAAAAATATTGTCCAGAAACTTCTATTCTAGAAAATAAGTCATTTTCGGAATGGGATTGTTACACAAATAGCCGTCCAGATTCAATGTTGACTTTTTCTAGCCGGTATACATGGATTATACACATTTATACATATATTATATATCTACTGGCTTCTTTTAGTTTAAAAGATGAGGTGAGCGGTTATTTTGGTTAATTCTTCTCTCAGAAAGTCATAACAAACATACCCCAAAGAAATATTCCCCTTAGGGCTCGTTTGGTACGAGTGAGAAGGGATTATTAATCTCAGGATTAAATTTGAGATGAGTTTATCTCATATTTGGTTGGGATAAAATCGCGATATAACTAATCCTGGGATTATATTGTTTTTTTATCCCTATGGAAGGATGGAACAATTAATCCCGGGATAACTAATCTCGGGATAATTAATCCTAGAATCTATGTTGCGCGGACTCTCCATAATGTAGCCGCACCCATGTCGGATCCTTAAAAAATGCACTACTTTTGGAGGATCCGACACGTGTCCGGCCACATTTTCGGAGAATCCGAGCAACATAGCCTGGAATAACTTGTTTCCAACCAAACGACCCCTTAATACTTATTTTCTTCCTTGATTCAACACCTTAAAAACATTCAGGTAAACTACTACCAGTACAAAAAGAAGAAAAGAAAATCCATAAACAAGTTTCTTACATTAACTTCTTCCTTGGAAGAACCATGTTGTCTGCGGCCAGGTAATTGTTTTTTCTTCTCCTCTGTATAGTTCTGTAGCATAGTTTTCATATTACATAATGAAACTTGTAGAGCAAGGGAAGGAATAAAATCAAGACTCTGCTTAGAAAAACAAAAAGTAAATAAAAAATCTCACCAAGTCAAGATGGTATGAAGATTTGCAGAATTCACTAAGCTTTTCTTCCTCCATTATTGTCTAACTGCTGCTTTTGTCAATGTGAAAAATAGAATGTTTTAGTCGTTTAATGCTAATTTGGATTGGATTATTTATTGCTCCAAATTTTAATATGACACGAGGATAGCAGAGGATCTTTACTGAAAATAGAAAAGAAGCACTTATGCTATTAAAAGGAAGCAGAATAAGAGTAGCTGTCAAAAGTGATGGCTTTACTTTTAGTTGATATAACTCAAGACAACAACAGGTTTTGATATATTTGTAGAAGAGCCATGCAAATTTACTTTAAAAGTGAAAATTGCAAAAAAGACCCCACATTTGTAAATTTTACTGAAATAGCATTAATTGCAGCTACGTTAGATCCAAGTCCAACAAAAGTTGACAACTGCCCAAACAGAAGCAAAAGAAGACCGTGTTATGACAAATCCAAGAAACATTAATTAGTGGATCAGTAACAACAAGAATGCGTAAATGATTGAGACTACTCACCCCCGTCATCCCAAATTTCAAGTTTTCTAAAATAATGAATCAAAGATCTAGAAAATAATTGGTTCAGTGTTGTGGCTTTCAGATTTTTCACTCCAAACTATGATGCACTCTAGGTTTTTAAAGGTGTGGCTTATTTTGAGCATTTGACAGTATTTATTTTAACCATCTCGTATATACTAAGGGCACCGTCGTGCACTAAGTGTCTCCTATGCCCCGGATCAATGGCGAAGCTAGCAATTTTTTCAAGGGTGTTCAAATTTAAAAGTAGTGAAAAAATTCAGTATGTGTTATATATTTTTAAAACCTAATATTTTACCTATGTACACAGTGTAATTTTTCGACGAAGGATGGTCAGTTGACCACCCTTATGACCATGTGGCTGTTAGGACATACTATAAACCATGCGTATTGTTATAGTATTCTTTATGGAACAATTGTTTATTTATTTATTCAATTCAATAAAATTTTATTTTAAATAGATCAAGTATTTGTTTGTGTGTCTGTTGCTTATATAGTAGATGTTCTAGTGTATAGAGTTTAGCTTATACACGGAAGATTAAATCATCGGTTCTTATAAGTCATAAAATTTATGTTCACAATCTAATAATGGAATTGGACAAACCATCAGAATGGTTGTAGCACAAGATTAAATATAATTTATCTTGATTATGGGAATGGTTTAATTTCAACTTCTTGTGCTAGTACATTTTGTATGTATTGAACGGATCAAGTAGAGATAGGTATTTTATACGACTTAATAAAATAATTTCTCTAGTCCATTCAATGTACTTATACTCTTAATCTTGATATAATTATTATTAGTTGTGTATATCATTTATTATTTTGATTTATTAAAAGGCGAGATTCTTTTGTGGGTCCATAAGCCTGGTAAATTGGACAATAATGATATACATTGGCGAAGTAATAATTAGTTGATAGAATCCATGTCTCGATTTTTGAGATTGATGATACTCCTTTATGAAAGCTTATAAGTTTTCATGTATAAACCCGGCCGGTGAATTTTATATCCGACACATGAAATAAGTTAAGTGAAAGTCTCAAGGAAGTAATCAATAAATTAACTTGTCAGTAATTTAATTTGATTGGTTAGTATCTGAATCTTAACATGGGGAGTTAAATAAGGTTTTATGGAAGAATTTCGAATTGAACTAAGGAGTGCAATTACGAATTTTTAGTGGAGTAATTCGTAATTTATTCTGGAAGAAATTAATTTCAAATTTCGAAATTAATTCCATAATAGGAAGCCTTGTTAATTAAATTCTGTGGTCCCTACTGTGCCTAAATAATAGAAAATAAAGGAAACCTTTCCTTAGTGGAAGAAGAAAACTAATAGGTTTTGAAAAAGGGTTTTAACCTAAAAAAACGTAGCTATATATACACGGTATATGGCTGGCCGTTTTTTACACTGAAAAACACACGTTTTTCTTCCTTGAATTTCGCCCACCCGAATTTTCTCTTTCCGGATATTATTTGGGTAACACGGTAGAAGACTGTAGAAGTTTGCTAAGGTCTTGCAACTCTGGAACTGGAGACGGATATTGATTTGATTTGTTCACGCTTCAAGAGGTAACTCGAATAATCTCCGTATGTGCTAATTGTTTAATTCACACGTGAATATGATACTGTGATTGCTTACGCTGTGATATATAATCCAACAATTGGTATCAGAGCCTACTCAAGTCTAATTAAATGATTAGGATGAACAATGAAATTAGTATCATGTGAATATGCAAGTTTTTAATTACATGCAAAGATTGTTTTGAATTCTGTAAAACTGCGTTGTTTTTAACATGAATATTTGTTCTGAGTATTATGATTATTCTGAAAATCATGTAATATCTGCTTATAGTTGATGATATATGATTAGAATAATCTGAAAATTACATTAATCCATGAAAAATGCAAAAGTCACTATTTGGTCAAATTGGCCAGAAAATCCGAGGTCAACATGTTGACGGACTCCGATTGACCTGAAACTTGGCAGGTCCATGCAAAACAACCCAGTGAGCAATACTCATCAGCTGTGCTCATGATGTAAGCCGTTTTCTGGGCTTTCGGAGTCGTTTAGATGGTGTTTTGGACGTTTTATTAATTTTCTGGAAATTTTTCAAAAAAAAATTCCAGTTGTTTTTAATCCAGTGCTGGTAGGGATCGTTTCCTATGGACAATAGGGTTAAAATTCTAGTGATAATGTTTTTACATATTGACGTAGGTCTTCTTCCATATCGGATAAACTCACTATAGATAATTACTAGGTTATACTAGTTGTTGATTACTTGTATTTACTCTCCATCTACGTATGCATGTTGGTTCAATGGAACTAGTATATATACTGAATGTTGATATTCACTTGACTTAAATTAACAGTTTACTCTCCATCTGAGTATGGCCTGTCTAGATTCATGGAGTGAATAATCTGTCATTATATATGTATATTGCAAGAATAGCTTTTTTCCCATCGAAATTTGTTGTTCAAGGTGCATAGATTATATATATGTAGTGTATTTTGAATTTTAATATTCAAATAATACATGACTGATTTTGATCTATTTAATTTAACTGTCTCCCAGAGTAACAATGACTGCTTTCAATCCCCTTACTACTATTCTTACTCAAAACAAACTTGAGGGTTCGAATTATGTTGATTGGAAACGAAACTTGAATATTGTCCTAATTGCTGAAGAGTACAAATTTGTGCTCGATGAGGTGTGTCCAGAAAAACCTGGAGATGATGCTACGGATGATGGACAAAAGGCTTACCAGAAATGGGTCAAGGCTGATGAGATGGTGCGGTGTTACATTCTGGCATCTATGTCAAATGTTCTGCAACGTCAACATCAGTCAATGGAGTCTGCTTATGACATTCTGGAAAATCTCAAAGAAATATTTGGAGATCAGAATTGTGCAGCTAAGCAGACTGCCATGAAAGCTCTTTTGAATACCAAAATGGTCGAAGGTTCATCGGTTAGGGACCATGTTTTGAAGATGATGAGTCTTCTGAATGAACTGGAGGTCCTTGGAGCTAACATTGATAAGGATACGCAGGTTGAAATGATCCTGCAGACTCTGCCTGACAGTTTTCAGCAGTTTCGCCTGTGAGCACGTGATTTTTGCCCAACCCAAAATACTCTTACAGAATCTCACAATAGATTTCTGTAGGTCATTTTTAATTTAATAGAATTTTTAGGAATATTTGTTCGAGTGTTTGCATTTTTAGTTGCATTTTTGCATGCATTAAAGCATAGAAAATGCCCCAAAAATATCAAAATTCCATGCATTGCATATTAGGTTGTGTGTTCATATTTTAGGATTAATTTGGCTAATTGTTATTAAAATAAAAATCACAAAAAATATCTTTCATTTTACATTTTAGCCTTTAATGCTAAATTAGTAATTTTCTCCTCTTTAATTTAGGATCAACTAATTTTGTAAATACTACAAAAAGATAATCAGCTTGATTTTATACTTTAGAATAGTTTAGGATTTAATTAATTTAGTTAGGATTTTTTTATTTAAGAAAAAGAAAAGAAAGAAAAAGCAAAACAAAAGGATGGTTTTGATTTGGGCCACCCAAAATACTAAATTCAGTGGCCCAAAATCATTTTAACCCAATTCCACCCACGCCCGGTCCAGCCCGGCCCCATGCCCGGTCCATCCCCCATTAACGGAGACGACGTCGTTTTTGTAATTTCAATCCTAGCCGTCGATCTTCCTTGATCGAACGGCTCGGAACTGGTCTACAATTAAACATATAACTGTCCGAAATAAAGCCCCCCCCCCCTCCCCTGACCCCCTCTCACTTCGTCTCTCACCCCAAACCAGAGAAACCCTAGCCGCCTTAGGACTCCCTCACCGGCTCCGCCTATCTCCGCCGCCCGAAAATCGCTTTACAGCGGCGGAGCATCTCCAAACCCTACCAAATTAACATCCTATAACCACCTTTCCCTCCCTTTTTCAAATCCCCAAACCATTTCCCTCGAATCTTTCCCAAACCGCTCAAATCTTGGATCTAAAATCCAAACCCTAATTTTTCCCTTTTCGATTTTCGGTCAATTTCTGGGCTATTTGAACCTAAGACCCATTAGTCGACTGTTCTTGTTGGGAACAGTCGATTAATGGTCGTCCAAGTTCGTTTTATCCCATTTGAAGCCTGTCCGAAGTTCTTGACGGATTCAAATTCGAAGCAGGTTTTGGTAATCCCTTTTCTTCCTTCTTTTGTTTATCTCCTTCATCTTCTTTCTTTCTTTTAGCCGCTTGTCTGAGGTCATCACAACTCTAGGTTCTTTTTTTTATGACTGTTTTGTTCGTTCATTTTGCATCTGTTCATTAGATTAATCAAAGCATGCTAGGATTTCATCTTCTGAAGTTTAATTTCAATTTGCATAGGTTTGTTTTAATTAGGTCTAATCTTTGTAGGATTTTTGATAAATTGGCTATTCTGTTTTTCTCTTATAATTATTTGTTTTAGTTCGAAGTTAATTAGAATGTTTCTAAAAGTTAATTAACAGTCTACTTAGTTGATTTCTGATTAGCTATTAAAAAAATATAGTTTAGTTGATTAATTTTTTTTTGATTTGAAGACTTATTAGGATAATCTTTAGGGCTTAAAATGCATCATTTCAACTCTGTTGTCATTTGAATTTGAACTCTGACTCTTTTTGGCCTGGTCTTTGTTTGCCATGATTTGTAAATTAGTGGAAACTTCTAGGGGTCAATTGAACAAAAGAGAAACTTAAGGGGTTTGTTTGAAGAGTGGGTAAATATGAAATAGGATAAAGACCATGTTGGAAGGTTCTAGAATTGGGGCAGATGGCCTAATTTGGTTAGCACAAAATGCTGAAGCCAATGAGGGACAGCCAGCCGTCCAAGTTGGTTAAAAGATGCCTTTGTGGCTGAAGGGAATAATTCCCTGATTCTTTTTCAGCACATGGCATTTTGGATGCCTACAAATAGAGTCCCTCTTCACTCATTTTAGGTAGAGATTTCAGAACCCTAAAACACTCCTAAAGGTTCAGCACTGTTTCATTAGAGCTGACCCTCCCTTCCTCTGATTTGAAAAAAAAATTTAAGAACTTCCTTGGGATTTCTGGTTTCCACAAGTCGAAAAATGGATTAAGTTTGAGGCTGTGGTTGGCTGTTTCTCGCTGCTTGCTTTCTACTGATTTCCTGCTGAAAGTTCATCTCTTTGCTGTTGAATTACTTGCATCTATTTAGCACTTTTGGAGCAGTTCTTAAGCAGCAAGGTACACACTTTGCCTTGTGCTAAAATCTCTGTAAATCTGACTTAACATGAATGCAAGAAATTCAGTTTGAATGATAGGTTGTTATGATGCAATTCATCTTCATAGGTGCAATAATATTTGAGTTTTCTTGACCATGTAAATCTCTGTTAATTTAGTGTTTCTTATGCCATAAAAACGTGTTTTCTTGTGTTTTAAATGCAGTATTTGTTATCTGTTGGGTTTGGGTTATATATGCTATTTCATTTGTTCCTTCTTGTCTAATATTCTTGTTTTGTTGGCTGAGTTTATGTGATAATACAGTGTTCAGCATGTGTGTAGCCCTGCTCTTGGTGGATTTGATCTCGACATGGTCATATCCATGTGAGTTCGAAGCTGAAACAGAATTCTACTCATGTATGGAAAAGCTGGGAGCCTTATGAAAGATTATGGCCCAAATTTTCAATTGTAGACATTAGGATATTTGGTTTTGATAGTTTAGGTTGAGTCTGTTTACTATTTCATAGGTTGAGTCGTGTTCAATCTTTTGTTTAATCATCAATTGTTCATCAATGATTCAAAGTCCGTGGTTACTGTTAGATAGATACGGAATTTCCATATAAATAGATGTGATGTATAAAGATATTGGGAGGTTCAGAATTGAATGCTTTAAGTAGTTTTATTTTAATGTATTGGACCTGCAAGATAACTGCATAATGAATTAGCCCTTTTCTTTCGTCTGTCTCATTGAAAGGGCATGTTGAGTATTTTGCTGGCCATGGTGTAAGTCCAAGGCCCAAGTTTATACACTTTCCAAAAGGAAACTCATTGTTCAATTGCTGAATGATGTGTGAATTTGCTATCTTACGATTTAGTATTGATAAAGTGCTTGTGCATGTGATGCTAATGTGATTAATCAGTAGTTTAAAGTAGTTCAGCATATTCGATTTCAAAATTGAATAATTGAGTAGTTATTTGTGTATTAGAAGAGATTGAATTTCATCCAGGGCCGTAGCATGTTAAAAATTTTCCTTTTAAAACTAAATGGGCTTGGTGTTAGCCCAAATGAGACGGCCTGGTCCAGATCAGACCTGGTATGGTCTCTGGGGTCTCTTCCGCTTTTGGGGCTCGATTTAGGGCCTAATTAAAATCAGCATGTATTACTTTCAAGGCCTTTTAACCAAATAACGTGTTGGGCCTGTTGCTGGCCCATTTCTTCTCAAAATAATTAAAAGCCCAGTGTGTTATCTAATGCAAACTTATAATTAGTGGCCTTTTATAACTCCAAACTTAGTTTAAACATGAATACTCGTAGCTTGCTTTAGGCACGTTTAATATACCATCGTGGTTGTGTACATGTTCGCGTGACATAATTACGATCTTAAAAACAAAATCGGAGTATGCGTTCGCGCAACTTCGACTAAACTTTCGTAATAATAATAAAGCGTTATTAATTGTGGACACGTATGCGTGACATGATTTTTGACGCACCAAACAAATGGGTACACATACGCGTGACCTGTTTTAGGATAATTTCTTAATTAAAAGAGGTAAATGAACATAGGTTCTAAAATAAGTAATTAAACAATTTAATTGAGTCAAGTATGATTAAAGGGACCGTGCTAAAACCACGGAACCTGGGTATGCCTAACACCTTCTCCCGGGTTAACATAATTTGTTAGCTTGTATGGGTCCGCCAAATCTTAGAGTAACTGGTCCTCTACAAGTTTCTGCTGAGAGCAATTAGTAAGGTAGTAAGTAAATGAGGCAGAGGATTTCTACGGGGGAAAATCCCGCATAAGGGGATCAAAAAACCACGACCTACCCTGTAGGCTTTTAACAGCACTAACTTGTAATCTTACCTAATACAAGCCACTTTACAATGCTTCCGATTGTAAAGACTTCAAACTAACTTGTGGCACCTTTACCACAAGCCACTTTGTGACTATCCTAGTTACAAGGGCTTTTTCTAACTTGTGGTGCTATCACCACAAGCCACTTTGCAATACTACAATTACAAAGACTTTTCTTTATGACTAAATCTAGCCACAACCTAAACTCAACGAGTCTGGGAATTTACAAGAGAGTTCCTAATCAGTAAACTTCTAAGTAAGCAATTTAGGAGATATTGTAAGTGCAATAACAAGGTTACAACTCAACTAGGACAGCAATAATCAATCATTTTGGAACTGGTCCGTAGTAGCGTTCAACCTTGTTCTTCAAGCTTGAGAGATTGATCTTTTTTGTTTTTGCTAAAGACTTGAATGAATGAAACTGAAACCATTCAGTGATGTTTTGTATAAAAACCTCTTTGGTACATCTTGGTCACATCACTTGAAATGATGTGAGTACTTTGTTTGGTTAAAGAATGAGTGGGCTGACAGTGTGGTGCAGTGTGGCAGAAATAGTGCCGCCAGTCACTTCAGTTCCAGCTGTGTCCAAATGACTTGTGCTGCTATATAGGAACCACAAGAGCATCAGGTCCTTGTTGGGTTCCTAGCTCCTATAAGTGTAGCAATTTATCTTTTACTGGAGTCCGTTGGAGTTTGCAGCTATCCAAGGTAGATCAGGTTCCCTAACTGGTTCTTGTCAGAAAGTTTGTTAGATCATCAAAACATAAGGTAGAGTATTTAAGATCTATCAGTTTCCCCCTTTTTGATGATGACAAACTTAAACAGTTATAAGGTCAGAATTAAGGTATCAAAGAGCAGCAGTGTCAAAGAGATCCCCCTGAGACGATGCCTTCAGTTACACAAGAACCAGTTCCCCCAATGTGGTTCCCCCTGAGTCCTATATTAGTCTTTCTTGTTTTTCCCTCTTTTGGCATCATTAAAAAGAATAAAAGTGCAAAGAAGTCCAGCCAAGCTAACCCATGCCA